CTCTCTCTCTCTCTCTCTCTCTCTCTCTCTCTAGTGATGACTGCAATCCCTGTGTTCTAACCGTTTGCCTCTTACAGCCTCTCTCACTCACTATCAGCAGCACTACTACTTCAACATAACCTTCTCATCAGTAGTGGCTTTCATGCATACAATGGTTTGACAATATGTTTTAAGTCCATCCATCCATCGGTGGCACCATTTACTACGGTTTAGTCTCAATGATAACTGGGCTGCTCTGGCAGTGGTATCTCTGCTCTTCGTCTCCTTATCATTTCCGCTGTCCAGACTTTATATGAGGTTCTGGACGGAGAACTGATAAGGGCGGGGGGAGTACTACTTACTACTAACACCACTAATCATATACCACTACCACTATTAATAGTCATCATCTCTTTTGCCTTCTCCTTCTTCGACTCACATCTCTCTCTCTCTCTCTCTCTCTCTCTCTCTCTCTCTCTCTTTGCTTCTTATAATTTCCGCTTATAATTCATCTCATTCTTCGCCTATTCTTTGTGCTCTTATTATCAATAAATGCATTAACTTTTCATAATTATCTCTAATAATAGGGTTTTATATGTCACTAATAATAAAAAGATAATTACAATAATAATAATATATCTGTTATTAATAAACCTCTTTATATCTGTTTCCTATGATATGCGGACAATACGTTCGCTTACTATTTGTAATAATATATCGATATTTTACTCAAACTAATGTATTATAAATACTTTAGTAAAAATTGCATTAAATATATAATTAAATATAAATATTATGTAAATTAAATTATAAAGAAAACCATTAAAGACTTATTTTGGTAATTAAAAACATTATATTTTAATTAATAATCATTGACAAATAAAATATGCGCTTAAAACCAATATTGTTTATCATTTAATAGCCTTTTTGCCAGTCAATCAAATAAAGCAATTCTTGTTTTGAAGTAAATTTAGCATAATTTTCAACAAAGAGTTTCACACAGTCTTTGGCTCGAGTGATGGCTGCGTTGTGTGGAGTAATCAATACATTTGGATGCGACCAAAGAGGGCTGGTTTGAGGCAACGGCTCCTTTTCAAACACATCCAGTATTGCGCCAGAAATCCATCCATTATTTAACGCATTGATTATTTCGCTCTCAGAGATTACGGAACCCCTTCCGACGTTTATAAATACCGGTCTCTAATATAAATGTAATCAATAATTCAAATCACATTCAAAGCATGTTATTGTGTGAGAAATTTAAAATACTGGTAAAATATATTTTGCATTAAATGCATTGCGAATCTATTCATAAGTGTTTTTTCGCTGTCATTGGGAAAGTGGGAGACACTGGATGTGTCTATACGTATGGCATTATTAACTTATTATTAACTCAAAACACAAAATTAATAATAAAATATTCTCTTAAATAAAGATTAAATATAAGGTATGGAGAATTGAGCGCCTCATCGGATGCCAACCATAGCATACCGTATGTACAGAAGATATGGTGTGTGTGTTGTGTATGTGATAACAGAATTCATTTCATCAATAATTAATATATGAATTGATTGACATAAATATATGTCGAGAAATATGTGTTGGCATTTGAATATAACAAGTATTAATATAATTCTGAGCGCACTTTAACATAAATGTCAATATTTAATGTTTGACTTCAACGCCAAAACTTGATATTAGTTTTGGTCTCTAATGAAGAAAAACTGCTTTTTCACCACTCACTCCTCTCTCTCTCTCTCTCTCTCTATTTGAATGAATGTCTCGTTTCGCAGACAAATACAGAATTGAGTTTCAAATATTGAGTTTGATTAATATTGTGGATCACTTTCCTCTCCAATTCTCTCTCTCTCTCTCTCTCTCTCTCTCTCTCATCGTCTTTTATAGCATCCAAATTCTTGTCATAGCATTTGGGTATTCAATATATACTTTGCTGGTAATTGCGATATAAAATTACATTAATTACTATTTTGTATCTAAAAAAGTTTATACAGAATATGCAATCAAATAATATCTTTATATTTTGTTTAATTATAGAATTCATACACAAATCGATTGAAATAAAAGAGTCAAATAAATTTTGACTTCACTTTTCCATTCTCTCCACTAATTAATCACTTTTATGTAATTTATTATATAAAATACTTGTGTATAAAGTATACAGTACTGTATATACGATAGTAGTGTACAGGCATTTGGATTGCTTTAATATTTACGAGTTTTCTAATTGAATATTCTGTAAAAATGAGTGCAAAACTAAAGCTAATTAAACATTAAATTTATATCTATAGCTATAGTATAGCTACAGATTAGTGAAACTGAAAATCTAAAAAACAAACAGTCGTTTATTTAAAACACAAACTATTCTCTCGTTTTAGATATGCATTTAATGTCAAATGAAATGACACTTTCATTACATAATTTACAGTCAATTCGGTTTAAAATTCATAATAATTAAAGTTTTTCGCAAAAGTTGTGATTTATGTGACGATTGTCTCCAGCGATCAATAATAAAAAGGGTTTTAAAATCTATTTATATATACGTTATTTTGTACTGTATTATGCAATACACTAAACAGACATTAAATCGCGCTTTTAATTCAATTATAATAATTAAAAACTGAAAATCCATTAAAAATTTGCAATCTTTATAAATTATTTCCTGAATTAAATTTGAAAATCAGTCGTGTTTTTAATCAATTAAACTTTCATTCAAACTCAATATTTGAAACTCAATTCTGTATTTGTCTGCGAAACGAGACATTCATTCAAATAGAGAGAAGACAGCAAATAATGTGATGTGTTTTTCCACAAAACCTAATCCCAATGTTCAGCGAAAATACAGTTTTTGTGTTAATTGTAAGCTTAGCTCCGAAGAAGGTCTGCCTCACGACTGGTTATATTATAATTATTTCGTTTGAAAAGTATTGGTTCATTAATTTGTAGCTTTAAGTCATTGTCATTATTTGATACAATAGTGTATTTCCTAACCTTTCGAGAGCACAGTTCGAGTACATTGTTGTCGAGCAGACCCTTTGTATGCGGTGTTGAGGGCAATACACTTATCAGATAATCACATTCCGGGAGTATGTCTTCTAATTTCGTCGAATATCTGAATTGTAATTAATTAATCAATAATACATTTCTTACTCTATTCTCCAAATCAATAGTCTGTGTAATTATTTAACAATCAGAATATTCTTTACGTCTAATGTATTCAATAATAAATATTTTAAATGAAGGAAATGAATGAATGGATGAACGAAAAAGAAGAAGTAAAGATCAAAACAGTTAATAATTTGTCTTAAGAAGAATTAGGAAATCTTTTTTTGCTTTTGTTTTGGAATTACATTGAAAGCGAAAAAATCGAGAGAGAGAAGACAGCAAATAATGTGATGTGTTTTTCCACAAAACCTAATCCCAATGTTCAGCGAAAATACAGTTTTTGTGTAATGTACACAATACTGTACGGTATATACAATGTACAGAATTGGTGTAATGTTTGATATAATCAATAATTTATTAGTGGCGCACAAGTTTCGGCAACTGTGCTCTCGAAAGGTTTAAAATAATTGAAAATTCTGTGCACATTCTGTCTGAAAAACCGAAATTACAAAACACATCAAATTCTCATTAGAGATAAATGTCTTGAAACGCAACAATACTTAATGTCATTATACTTATCGAGTGGTATATCCGTAATGCTGTGTTCATATCGTTTGGTGCGCCCATAGCTCACCACTCGAGAGCCCAATTGCCGAAACTTGTGCGCCACTAATAAATTATTGATTATATCAAACATTACACCAATTCTGTACATTGTATATACCGTACAGTATTGTGTACATTCACTATACTGTACAGTATATGTGTTTTTCCACAAACATAATCATGTAAGACAATAGAGAAAGATAGTGAACTCCACTGCCTTTTAACAACATATAAATATTTTTACCAAAAGACAATATAAAATTAAAGCCCTGTTCTCTTCGCTCAAATTTTTCACTAAACTCTAAAATAATAGACATTAAAAATGGATTAAGGTTTGCATGAATTGTATTAAATGTTTGGTTACTAAGAAATACAATGAATTACTTGCAAAAGAGTATAGTCTCGTAAATTTCATTACAATGTTGTGTAATAATTGAGTAAAAAATATTAAATGAAAAATGTTTTTGTTTAATGGCCTAAAGATTTGCAATTTATAATTAAATTATTTCTAATTTTATTCGTTATCCACTGACTGTATAAAAGGTTTTTATACAAAAATTTGGTTTCAAACATATTCTGTCAATAAAAGAAAGATTTATAAACGAAAAAAATGTTTCTTTTAAAAATTCAAAATTCATTTTTCCATAAAATGTGATAAATAATTGAAAGTCTGCCTAAACTTAATAAAACTCTTAACATGCAAACGAAAATTCAGATATATTTTGATATATAAATATGTGTCGGCGAGAGAGAGAGAGAGAGAGAGGTTTAAAATAATTGAAAATTCTGTGCACATTCTGTCTGAAAAACCGAAATTACAAAACACATCAAATTCTAGAGAGAGAGAGAGAGAGAGAGAGAGAGAGAGAGATTGCAAAACAAACTTCAATTCATAAATGAATTGAGATTTGAATTTAGATTCCTTTCAGAATTGAAATAAATTCTTTCAAAATATAAAGTTTTGCATAAACTCTAATACAGTGTTAGACTACTGTATAAACATATAGCACCAGAATATTGTAAGAAAAATAGCATAAATAGTATAAATATAGCTAAACAGAAGCTAAAAGCGCATTGAATTTGTGTCTGAAATAACAGCCACCAAATCCTTGACATAAGTCTTTGAATACAATATAAGATTTATAGTATGCAATCGATTTAGAGCTTAATATAGAAAAAAAGTTAATCCGAAATGCATTCAGATATTACACTCAACACTACAACTATAGAGTTATTTACTTTTTTAAAGTAATAATTTTTATTCGCTACTAGTTTTGGGTGTTTGTATGGACTGGGAATTCAAGTGCTGTATTAGATTTTATTAGAGATGCTCTCCTCTTATATTAAATTTGTACCCAATATTGAATTGAATTAATGGAAAGTCTCTTCAATTGGTTTTATAGAAACATAAATTACATTCAAAAACAATGACATTAAAAAATATCCAAATAGAGACTTAAGTGGAGAGAGAGAGAGAGAGAGCGTTAGGGTTCATCCCACCTCGGGTTTATCCCGCCTCGCCTTCAGTTAGTATTTGCTATCAATTTGCTATCATTTAATATTTATGCTTAAAATAGTGTATCAATTAATGAGTGTTTTTGTTGTGAGACTTCTGATGGGAATTGAAGATGAGTTGAATGGTTTGCGGAGAGAGAGAGAGAGAGAGAGAGATTAAAATTAAAAAGAGTGGTCATACTGTATGAGCCAATAGCACCCTTTCCTCCAAGTATTGCAATTGTCATCTCGTCAATGGACTTGAAATCCCAGAGCAGTTCCTTTTGCCTTAAGATTAAAATAGTAAGTATTTGTGAAACAAACATAATACTAATTCGTGTCTATTATCGATAGAGCGATACAACAAAAAGAGTATCAATTGTTTAGGAGGAATGGCAAAGACATAAGAGGATCAGACAATCGTATAAAAGATAACATTTAAATTCATTGACAAAATACAAAAACACTCATTAATTGATACACTATTTTAAGCATAAATATTAAATGATAGCAAATTGATAGCAAATACTAACTGAAGGCGAGGCGGGATAAACCCGAGGTGGGATGAACCCTAACGCTCTCTCCCATACATTACGTGTCACGTGTCATTTGTACAGCTCATACAGAGGGTTCATGCCACCTCGGGTTTGAGTCGCCTCGGCTCTTGTAATACAAACCATGTTTTATGAATCTTTGTATTCTGGAAGTCGTCAAAGAACTTGCGTTCAGTCATAATCATATGTGCGATACAGTACTCAAACATCGATTGACCGAAACCTTCGCCCGAAAAGCGGGTCATCAGACAATTGGGCGGCTTTTGGCCACTCGTGACCATCGCGTTCACAAACCAGTCAATGCCGGCCCAAGTGTTTTGCATCCATTTGATTGCCGGCAACTTATGCAACGTCTGGGCCAATAGGTTCGGGTCGCCCAACAAGATCTCCGCCTCTTTCAACCCATCGATCTCTTTGTCGCCAATCTTTAAGTCCAGCGAAAATTTTCCCGAATATTCTGTGACAACGATATTAGGGTCAGAATATTCTGTGATATTAAATGTATTGCATATAAAATTAAGTGCACTTAAATTTTGCGCACAAAAGTGTATTAAATATATTACTGGACAACTGTTTGGTACCTTTTATAACATAAGTTACCGTTAAAATCACATTAGTGTTTCGTATTTAAAAGTACCAAAATTAAGGCTAATATTTGACAACTATTTGCATGTGTCATGTTTTGGTACTTTTCATTAGTGTAGGCAAAGGGTGTGATTGTATATTAAAACATAGTTTAATAAAGTACTGAATTGAATGGCATTTCAATAAGTCATTTATCACTATATGAATGGCAAATATATTGCTGTTTAAAGACATTGTAAATAAACCGATAAATGATAATAAAAAACACATGTTTTTTTCAACACTTAATTATTGCCGAAACTATAGTTTAAATTAAGTTTGAGTTTTAAATTAGTTTAAAGTTTTGGTTAGTTTTGGGCCACAAAAGCCAATTGCGGTCAAAGAAAAGCCAATCGACACTACATTTTGTGCCCAAAAATGCCATTAAATGGACGGCAAATGTAAGGCAAATATTTGCGGTAAATATTAGTCTATAATTAATTCATAAATTATAATTATAATTGAAATGATGGGTAAAATACTTGTTAATGGGATGTTAACGACCCGACAGTCGGGCAATGATTTGGCCAACAATTGAGACAATTGTGGGATTTGTGACAAAACGTACACCACTTTTGACATGTCTTTCACTTGACTTAACACTTATGGCACTAAAACTTTGCTGTGTTTTATGTTTTACTAACCGTTTTGAAAAATGTGTATTAAATGTATTGAATGTCTGTCTCTTAATAGTCACTCATATCGGCTATACTTGCGATGATTTTTATCAAAAATATTAGTTTTTATCCTTGAATTAAATTTTTCAATTCATGTAAGCATTGAATAAATTCCTATCATTTTTGTTAATTTAACTTTTTTTTGACAAATCAATAAATTCGCTGATTATTTAGTGTTGAAAATGATTATGATTTTAATGTCATTTAATAAATATCAATGAAATTTCATTAATTTGTACACTTGTATTGATTGATGTGTTGGACTAGTGTTTGCTTTTAGTGTCAAACTAATAGTGGAGTACATTATAAATACTTTAAAGTACTGAAAGGGATATGTCTTTCGGCAAATATATTCGCGTATAATCTTTGGGGGGTTTTGGCGGAGGAAGTGGTGAAAAGAGCAGTGGTTTTAAACTCGCATTCGTTTGGCTATCAATTAAACGGACAATTATTTGCTTATATATTAAATCAATTGCAATATTTGAGTGTAGAATAAAGTCATTAAAAATTATATTTGATTTCGACATTGGGTTCAGATTTTTGGTTAATTTGATTATGATTTGAGTTTGAGAGCGGAGTCCACACCAGAACTTATTTAGTTTGCAATTGAGTGAGACTTCTGATGGGAATTGAAGATGAGTTGAATGGTTTGCGGAGAGAGAGAGAGAGAGAGGGAGAGAGAACTCCTTATTTGAGTTTAAGAATACGTTATGTTTTTATTTGATGTGTTTGACGTGATTTGCAGTTTTATTATATATTGACTCAATTTATATATTAGTATAACTATTAGTGCTTTTACTCCAAAACGTGACACTCATTTCGAGATTCACTACTTTTTTCTCATCCATTAATTAATTCAGTAATTTTTTAGCTCCAGAAAAGTCTCTTTAAATTTGCTGTACTTTTAATCAATGTCGGAATTTATTTTCTTATTATAAATAGTTTACATTAATTTCTGACTCCAATATTTCATATCTCACTTTGCGTTCGCTTTCGGATCCTATTTTCATAGGAATTAATTCAGAAAAATTGTTTTATAGTTTAATACATAATTTATTTACTTTTGAATTACATTAACGCAGAAATAATTAGATTTGTATTGAATTCTTGACTCCCAAAACAAATGGCAATCTCTTATGATATGAGAAAAAGCGATTTCATATGAAATATAGTTTTAGTCGACTGTTGTGTTAAATGCCATACTTTTCTATGTGTTTTGTATATTAAGAAATTGTGTTTTGGGAAAAACAAACTCAAAACTCAACCAAAAACCTAAACTCCAAAATAAAAAGCAAATTATAATTTCGTAAGAATTAATTCCCATAGGAATTGGATATAAGAGTGGCTATACGTGTATAAGTTGTGCGCTTTTTGTGTCAGATTTTATTATTATTTCAGTAAATTTTGCGAATAAATTGCATTTAAATGCCATATATATTACGCTAGAAAAAGCGTTTTGATAAATATTTAAGTATAAAATTAGAAAATTAAACTCATTTATGTATTTTGTTGTGCACTGAATACTATAACAAAGAAACTCTACGACCAGTATATTATAGTATAGTTTTTGTTTGTTGTAAAATCCATATCCATATTATACACAAGACATGAAAATCACTTCACATTTATTCTTGAAATTCAACAGAATTTCAGCGATCGATACAATCATTCGCTAATATATACTGTTGTATAGATTTTTCCACTCGTTTTTCTAAACAATCGTCTCAATGACTATAATATTTTTGTTTCTTCGTTGAGTTATTTTAAAATTTTTTGGTTTTGTTTGCAGAATATGAACAAATGTGAACATATTATTCCTGTAGTGTTTAGCAAAATTGTTAACAAATATATTTTTCTAATCATATATTGTTTGATCTGTTTTTGTATGTGAAGCCAGAATCTGTCGTTACATATGATGAGAATGTTTTTTTGAATTCCTATTTATTTTTCACTTTTTATGTGATTTTATTTTGTTGTTTTTTTGTGAAAATATATTTATTTTGCTTTACAGTGACGGCTGTATTCAAAATAACAACAAATATCTATTCATAAAATGCTTGTTATAGTCAGATGTAAGAAAGTATCTCTTTTTTGTTCACTTTTTTGTTGCAAAACAAAAGGATTAGATTCTAATTGAAATTAATGTCTGAATATTATATTTAAAGAATATTCTCGTATAACTTGTGAATACAGTAGTCTATGAAGTCATTCATATTACATAATATTACGATTATTATTAGAAATACAATACAATTTTAGAGGAAATGCAAAACTATTATATAATATAATGTTTGAAATATTGCATAAAAAGACACTTTGTATTTAGAAAATTAGTTTTTAAAAATAATGAATCTATTCTTTAGCCCAAAGAATACCATTTTCATAACAAATTCTTGAAAATAATTAATTTTAATAATTGCTTTAATAACTGAATAGTATTTTTTATTTCTATAAATTGAATTGAATTTTGTGTAAATCTAATCCGATTTTTCTTTTCAATGATTGACATTAATTACAAATTGTGCCGTATTTTTGGTTTATTTATAGTTTATAATCTATTATTTGTTAAAACTTTATAAAGAATTTGTTGGTTTATTGACCTATAAGTGTGGCATTTATTGTAATTTATTTTTAATTAATAGAAAATTTTGATTTAAAACAAATGAATGAATGAGAATAAAGATTAAAATATTAGTAATTATTTGTTTTTAGATAGAAAAATATTAGTAAAGTATTAGAAGAGTTGACCGATTTATAGTCATATTTTTGACCACAATTTATTTATGAAGTGTGGTTTATATTATTGTGGTATCTTTCCCACCCGATGGCATTTAACATTGGATCCCATAGTAGTGTTAGATATACCCGGAACGAAGGGGCGTGGCTTATTTTTAATTAATATTAATTAAAAAAAGCAAGAGATAGGTAACAATAGCGGCGATAGTACTGTGTTTGTACTATTTTTAAAGCATTAG